TGGCACAAAAGTAAGCCAGTCACTACTTTCTTTAGGCAGTCTCTTACTTTGTAGCTCAGGCTGGCTTCACATTTGCAATTCTCAATTCCACCTCCTGGGATCACAAGCTTGTGCCACAACACCAGCTGTGAGCCTCCTTTCAAGTCCAATGGGAAGGAGCAGGACCAGCAAGCAGGAGGAGCTGGATCAGCTGCCTTCCCTGGAGGACCAGAACACTGCAATTACTCCTGTACCAGATGCCACAGGCATTTATGTCTCACAGGCTGGATTTGGCACTTAGGTTTCTAACAAATGAGGACAAATCCAGCTCAGAAAATCTAAGAGAAGGCGTCACAGAGATAAAAAGGATGGCTCTCCACTGGCTTACAATAGTCCTCTGGCTGTGACCGTGGGCTCCAGCCTGTCTTGCTGCTCTCCTAGGACAGGTGATTAAAAAAAAGGGAGTCTTGTATAACCCAACGATGGGCGCAAAGCCCTGGCTCCAGTCTCCTTATTGCCAAAGCACATGCACACAAAGGCAGAGGAGCTGAGTCTATGAACACTTTCTGCAGAGCTAGCTGGATGTGGTGGCTCGCTCCTGTAATCCAGTACCTGTACAGCAGAGACAGGAGGGCTGTTGAACATTCGAGGTCAGCCTAAGCTACATAGTGAGCTCCAGGCCAGCTGGGGCTACATAGTGAGACTGTCTTTAAAAAAAAATTGATCTTCCGGGGGCTGGAGAGATGGCTCAGTGGTCAAGAGCATTAGCAGCTCTTCCAGAGGTCCTGAGTTTAATTCCCAGCAACTACATGGTGGCTCATGTAGACATCTATAATGGAATCTGATACCCTCTTCTGGTGTGCAAGTGTATATGCAGATAAAGAGAGCACCAGATACATAAAATAAATAAATTTTAAAAAAGTGAACATTAAAAAAAAATCAATCCCTCTCACACACACATACAACTATATAACAAATACATATGTATATTGGATACATACATACATACATACATACATACATGGTCTCGTGTAGCTTAGGATGGCCTGGAACTCAGTTCTGATCTTCCTGCCCCTGCCTCCCAAATGCTGGGATTACAGACATGTGTATCAGCACACCCCATTTTACAGCTGCTGGAGATTAAGACGGGGCTTTATGTATACTAGGCAAGCACTCTACCACGATACATCTCCTGACCAAGAAACCATTATTGTGACTGGAGAAGTGGCTCAGTCGTTAAGAGCGCCACACTGTGGCTCTTCACGACCACCTGTAACTCCATTTCCAGAGAATCTGGTGCCCTCCTCTGGCCTCTCTGGGTACTGCACACACACGGTGCACAAGCATATGCAGGCAAAACACATGCATTTAAGTACAAACAAGAAATGTTTTTAAGTTAGAAAAAGAAAATTCTTCCTCTTGTGTGAGGTGCTCAGGGAGTTGACTTTCCCAGCCAACAGTTCGTGGAGGGACTGAACTTTAACCCCAGGCCCTGGACTCTTTTTTTTTTTTTAAACAGGATCAGCTGGACAAGATCATGCCTACTTACGACTTGTAACCCTGGCTACGTCTGTGTGTTAGAGAGTTTGGTTGACTTCAAATGGAAGCCTGCATTCAATTTTTCAATGAGGAGTCTGGCAGAGCAGCCATTTAACGGAAGCGTGGCTCTTTTAAGAGAGGCTTGGTGACATGCACACCTTCCAAGTTCTTGGCTACTCCTTCCTCCTTCCTCCTTCCTCCTGGCAAGGGTTTACCGTCACAGTTGTTACAGGAACAGATTGATTGCTCTAGTCTGAGATTTAACAAGGGAGGAATTATGCTGAGTCAATGTGACTAAACATCTGGAGTTCCTAAGTCACCAATGAACAGACATTATTGTATGCACACATACTTAGAGATCAAATAGCTGTTTTTCTTAATTTACTGCTGTTAAACCCTTACTTGGATTGTCCAGTTTTATGATAAGGCACTAAAGGAAAAAATTACTGCTTCCCAGGATTGCTGGAAATAATAGTAGTGTGGCTTCAGAGAGATGAGACCAAGGCCAGTGACCCTGGGGACACCGGCCACACTGACAAGGGTGCTGTATGGGATGCTTAAAACTTAACTTACTTCAAAACCTTTCTGCCTTGCCCTCACCACGCACATCAAGGAAGGTCAGAAACAGCCAGCTCTCTGAAGGCTGTGCCAGAACTGCAAGTGAGGCCGACCTGAGCTCCAGAAAGACCTTGTCTCAAAACATGAAGGGTTGAGCTGTAGCTTTGTGGTTGAGCATTTGCCTAGCAAGTACAAGGCTCTGGGTTCAATCCCTAACACCTCAGAACAAAACTCCAAAACAGCAAAAAACCCTGCTCCCTTGGAGCAAATAATCCTCCCAGGGCCGAGCCCTTTGTTTAACTTACGTAAGAGGGTGTGTCAGCAATGACTTGGTACAGACTTGAACATTTCCGCTCTGCCACTGAACTTACTGTGTAATTCCTGAAATTGAACGGCTGCAGGCAGGGTAGGGAGAAAGTAGTTTCCACACACATACACACACACACACACACACACACACACACACACACACACACTCATTCTATCTCTGTCACACACACACACACA